CCAGGTCATTAGTGGGTGCAGGCGATGGGGAGTTCGGCACTGGGTGGGAGGAAGGACGATGCTCTTGGCCACCTGGGTGATTTACAGCCGCAGCGGCCAGGCTGGCTGGGGAAGGAGCCGAGGGGCAGGAGGAGAAAGTTAATATTCACAGAGCATCTTAGAGGAGCGCGGCCCTGTGCCCAGAGCTACCGTCCTGTTTTATTCAATCCTCATGACAAATCTGACGACGCAGTGCTATAACATATCTCCAATCACAAGCAAGGAAACAGGCCCGAAGAGGTTAACTAAGCATCTTGCCCAAGGCTATGCAGCTAATAAATGATGGTCTAATTCCAGAGCCCCAGCAACCACGCGGCTGCTCAGCGTCAGGGGCACGGCAGAGGTGAGCACAGGTGAAGGGAGGGCTAAGAAATACTCTAGGGACAATCTGTCAGGAGGCGCTTGGGTGAGGGGTGCTGCTCTGTGGGCTGGGAGCAGGGGCAGGGGAGAGGGGATATGCCTGGGTGATAAGTCCCCAGAAAGAGGAGACTAATAATAACAAGGAAACAGCACTGAGCGCCTTCTGTGTGCCAGGCACTGCGCTAAGGGCTTCCTGGGCAGGGTGTCATTTCATTCTCACAAGTCCATGAGGACACAGTTACCAACCCATCTTACCGATGAGGACACCGAGGCTCAGAGAGGTTAAGTCACCTGCCCCAGGTCTCAAAGCTGGCCAGTGGCAGGGACAAGGATTGGCCTGGGAGTAAGACTGGAGAAACAGGACAGCTGCTCACTCTCTGCTCTGTTGTCAGGATTCGTGCCTGTAAACAACAAAGCCTAACTTGGTCCAGGTAAGAGAAAGAGGAAGTTACTGGGCAGTTCTGAGGTATCTCACAAGATCTATTGGAAAGAAAGGCTGGGGAATTAAGTTTGGGAAACTTATGGGGACTACAGGAAACTGGGTGACTGGACCCACAACCTAGCCAGTAACCTCCTGTGGGTGCTGCCATAGGACCCTGGAGACCACTGGCCTCGGGACTGGCAGGGCGACTTCTCCACCGTTGCCTGTTTCTTTGGGACGCCCGCTGCACATTCAAGTCAAGGACCTAGACTCCTGTCTGTCCGAGCCAGGAATCTCTCCCACCCAGAGCCCCACCATGGAGGTGCCCTTCCTCCAGGCAGCAAGATTATTCAAATGCTGCACAGCAAACAACGACAAAAACATTCACCACAGGCCCCAGGGGCCCCAGGTCTCCCAGCCCCCCAGGAAGAGGTGACCACTGTGCCATCAGCTCTCTGCCCTTCCTGAGCCTTCTCCCATGTCCATAGCGAACCCTAGTTCAGAGCCCATCACCAGGGGTTGCGCAGAAATCTCAGGCCTCGGGTTCCTGATGGAGGCTGTGGAGATGACAATACCTTCCTTTCGACACCTACTGCATCCAGCTGATCACCCCCGTGTGCCAATTCTACTTTCCAAACAGGCGTTGACTCCAGCCCCTCTCGCTTACGGCTGCCTGCATAGCCCTGGCTCCTCTCTCACCTGGGCCCTGACAGCGGCCTCCTAACTGAAGTTTGTTTCACAGCCATTCTCCACACTGTTCACAGGAGCTCTACCAACAATCCCAATAGGACTGTGTCACTCCTCAGCTGAATATCCCTTTGTGGTACCCAGGTGCCTACAGGACAAAAACCAAGCTTTGTAGCACGATGCCTAGTGATCCCCGGCCTCACCGCCCATCACTCCCTGGTCTTGCACACCATGGTTTAGCAAAATCAGTTTACTATATTTTCCTGATCATACAATGATGGCTTGTAATTCCAGGTCTTGGCACATGCTGTTCCCTCAGTCTTCAATGCCTTTCCACCCCTCGTCTGCTCGGCACACTCCTCCTACTCATCCCTTGACATCCAGTTTCTGTAGCATTTATCACCTTCTAATATACTTCTAATGGTGCTTATTTACTACATAAATTACGTATGTTCCTCATTATTTGCTGTGCACGCTACAATGTGACCTCCAGAAGGGCAGATTTTTGTTTTATTGACAGCTCTGCTAGAACAGTAGGAGGCAGTCAATACATTTTTTGTTGAATAAATGAATGGGCAGAGCCTGAAACTGAGCCCAAATCAATTTCCCCAGCACTGAGCCTGCCTCTGAGTTGAAATGCTGAGGGTCTGGCCTGAGAGAGAAGGGGGGCTGGCTGCTGGCCTTGGCGGAGGCTGCTTCCCGGGGGCGCACGGGCTCGGCTTCTCCAGAGAGGCCCCGTCGGGGCTTCCTCTCCAAGGTGGGAGTTCGCGTCTCCCTCGGGGGAGTGACGCCGGAATTTCCAGAGGATGCGCAGGAATTTCTGACATCCAGGCCGAGCCCAGCCGGTAATAGGCACCTTCGGCCGCCAGCGGAACCGCCTGCCCCTAAATCACGGCCGGGCCCTCCTCCCTCCGCCCGCCTCCCGGCGGGGCGCGCACAAGCTGCGCTCCCGGGCAGGGGCGGGGTCCAGTCTCCAGGCTTGGGGGACCCGCCGCCCCCCACTGCAGGTGCCGCGGAAATGCTTGCCCCGCTGCTGGACTTTGAAGT